ACGCCGAGGGTTGCGATCCCGTTGCCGGTCCCGGTCCGGTATGGGCGCGACACTGAGGGTTGCGATCCGTTGCCGGACACGAAAAAAGACAAAAAGGAAAAAAATATGTTGAACTTTCAGAAGCAGAGAACAGACCTATAGTTACTACAGGTGGGAAAGAGAGAGGGGGAGTGTTGTGAGGTTGTCGCCCAGGAAAGAAACCAAACAATTAAGAATTTTAACAGAGTCTTTATTAGCCGGCTGGCAACTGCCTCCCCTAGGTATTTTGGGAGAACAGCAGCTAGCTTTAGTCTGCTGGAGTTTATAAAGGCAAAAGCCACATCCTGTCAGCACACGGGTTTGTCCAGGTGCACAAAGCAAGCGAGGTCACAGAAGCCAAAAGTGAGCTGTTAAAGCAATCAGGCATAAAATTTTCATTGTGTATTGTTTCTGTTTCTATGCAACGGTTTCTGTTCCCAATAGTTTCTTACGTGGGGGGCAGGGGGGTTAGTCTATTATACTTCCCGTTTCTATGAGGAGGTCAACGGTTTCTCACGCAGATGGGTTTAGCCTGTGTCTACCTTAGTATTGTTCAGGGCCCTCTGTTACAAGAATGTGGTTAGGGAGTAAGTGTGTAAGAGANGGGAGAACAGCAGCTAGCTTTAGTCTGCTGGAGTTTATAAAGGCAAAAGCCACATCCTGTCGGCACACGGGTTTGTCCAGGTGCACAAAGCAAGCAAGGTCACAGAAGCCAAAAGTGAGCAGTTAAAGCAATCAGGCATAAAATTTTCATTGTGTATTGTTTCTGTTTCTATGCAACGGTTTCTGTTTCCAATAGTTTCTTACGTGGGGGGGAGGGGGGTTAGTCTATTATACTTCCCATTTCTATGAGGAGGTCAACGGTTTCTCACGCAGATGGGTTTAGCCTGTGTCTACCTTAGTATTGTTCAGGGCCCTCTGTTACAAGAATGTGGTTAGGGAGTAAGTGTGTAAGAGACACAAAGAATAATCATGATTTGTAATGATGAACATGCTAACAATATAGATTTGATCATCACATACTACATACACAAATACTGATAGTCAACTCTGTGTCCGATAGAAATGTATAATCAAAAATAAATAAATAATAAATAAAATTAAAATAAATGGTGACCAAAAAAAGTCCTATTTTTTGTATCAGAATATGAACCTATTTCCTCTTTAACAAAAAGCAAACAAAAAAACCCCTCTCATTTTACTTTCATTGAATCTGTTGGCTGCAGGGACTCTGTGCAGTTATGAGAAACAAAATAATGATATGGAACAGATGAAGGACTTTGATAGAATGGGGACCAGAAATTCAAGAGTCTGTTTATCTGGGTCTGAGCCTCCGTATCTCTGGGCCTCTTCTGAAAAATAGGAATGAGTCAGAGTAGAAGGTGCAATAATTTGCACGAGGAAGAATAAATTCATTTATTCCATCTACTGTACTTGGTGCTATGCACCTGGTCTAAACAAAAAAATGAAAGAAAAAAAGTGTTCTGAGATGGAAGAGTTTTGTTTCCTTTTTGGCTTTCTGGTTAAAAGACTATAAAGAGATTCTGAATAAAATCCCAGCTGGTCCTTTTTGGCTTTTGCCCTGAAGCATGATTTCAAGTAGGTAGAGAACTGCTTTAATATGCAAGGTCCCTCTCACATCACTTCCTAGAAACCACAGCAATCATATTCACTTGCAACTAATTGTTCCTGTCACATTGGTGCATCTGTTAGTCTCAGAAGTTGTCCCTCTGTGCTGTAGATAGCACCTGATTCTCTTTGATGGCAAGGGTGGTACACTGACCTCTCTAGAAAAATTTAGTAGCTAAGCATAGTCCAAAGGAGATGATTAGGGAAACAGTGAGGCAGAGAAAAAAAGCTTCTCCTGATTCATTGCTTTCCATAAGCTTCCTCAGCAACCAGGTCTGACAAACGCAGTATGGCTGAGATCAATAAATTTGATAACTTGAAATTGAAGAAGACAGAAACTCAAGAGAAAAATCCACTGCCTTCCAAAGAAATGATCAAACAGGACAAGCAAGCTGGTGAATCGTAATGAGGACTGCCGTACATTCAACAGTGAGTTCCTCATTCACAGGCCCCAATATTTGTAGGTGACCTTGAAAACTTGGCCACAAAAGAAGAAAATACAAATGGCTAATATACACTGTACATTCCTCAAACATTAACTTATTTTACTTCCTTTAGCTGTTTACCTTTGTGAGAAACAAAAAGGTTGGACCAAGTTTAAATGACTGCTCTGCCCTTTCACATCAAAGAATCAAGAAATACTGACAACAAAGGCCACGCCTTCCTCCCCCATCTGCTTGCCTGGCTGGCGGGGAAGGAAAAGAACGTGCGTGTTGGTGAAAGAAGCTGGGTTGGACAACAGTGAAACCTAGACGAAAAATAAAGCTGGTCCCAGGTGTCCTGCAGGTTATAAATAGGTAGTTTAATCAAAGTGCTTTTTTGTGTTCAAATTCTTTTAATTACTGAAATTCATATTTTAA